TAAATAATATACGTATACATATTTGTAAATTCACTTTTCTATAGTCACTTTTTTATAAGGCACTCGTAATCGACAATATTTATCTTCAAACTAAATTTATATGCCAACCAGTAATAGATTAAGACTTTGACCCGTGGTTGTTACGGCTGTGTCATATCCACATAGAAATATAAAAACAGAATACGCTGCTCTCCGGACTCGTAGAGATATATTATGTACACAAATTTTGCTTGAATGAGCTGATGTCCGAGATGGGTGTATTGTAACACATCTTTCTTGTACATAAACTAAATTGTTGATGTACTGTGAATCATTTGTACTTTGCCATAATTCGAGAGTCACAGTAGCATATACAATTCCAATGGTGGCGCTAAAATCTAGCAATATCACAGGTGTCCTTATATACATCATGTGTATCTCATATGATAAGGCTTTTGTATACAAATTGTGTACCATCCGATAAAAGTGTGCTAAGCGGTACATATACATAAATGTATGTTGTTATATGCCTACGCGTAGGAAAATTCAACTGCTCGAATATTACCGCAATTTTAGCAGATAGACATACACGTGTATTTATATTGAAAAACATACTGAGGAATGGAATGGTAGTGAAACTGAAGCTCATTCAATATGTGAGTGCATGTTTTCTCAGAAAGCATCGTATTAGTACCTTCTTGCAATACACGTTGGAATTCAACTCAAATCACGGTATTAGGCATTAAAACCAAGCATGGACACGTTCAGCAATGATTATAAGGGCAAGATGACAGCTATAGAGAGCTGGTACATGTTCGTAGTATTCTCTGCCCATTCTTGTTCTCGGATAGTTATCTGTTTGATACGCGTGCACATAGACAAGTGACTTGCAGAAGAATTCGTGAAAGCAGTCTACACACCTTTATGCCATCTATAGTGAAGCTTCCGAAGTGCGCACAAAGCCATAGACATACTTGCGCAGCTATGTATACCAGTGCAACGTTAACTAACTTTCCCTTGCCTCCGCTCATGGCGCTTGTAATATCATTACATACGAAAAACAACATGGTAGTAGTGCACCCAGTGTGGTATAAAGTGTATATTTAACTAGTGTTGCATCGAATTTCGCGGCAATCAAAATACCGCCGTACTATGGTCTACTACAGATTGACGATTGTCGAATGTCGAATGTCAATGTATTTATTTGTATTGCTCTTTCTGTAGAACTAAAATCTCTCTCA